GTGCCACGTGCCCGCTACAGCAGGACCCGAGCGGCGCCTCGCGCTGCCTCCAGGCTCCCGAGCAGCTGCCCGCGCACGGGCCCCGTCGCCTCACAGCTGCGCCCAGTGTTAATTTTCGCAGATGGCGCGGCCAGCAGGAGGCGCATGAGAGGCACGCGGACCCTGCGCGCGCTGCGACCTAGGAGTCAGTCCCGGTCCTGGTGCCACGTGCCCGCTACAGCAGGACCCGAGCGGCGCCTCGCGCTGCCTCCAGGCTCCCGAGCAGCTGCCCGCGCACGGGCCCCGTCGCCTCACAGCTGCGCCCAGTGTTAATTTTCGCAGATGGCGCGGCCAGCAGGAGGCGCATGAGAGGCACGCGGACCCTGCGCGCGCTGCGACCTAGGAGTCAGTCCCGGTCCTGGCACCACCTTCCGTCCCGGTTCCCCGCAGTTACCGTGCGCCGGCGGGGAGAGAGGCTCCCCCCTCCCTTCTCTTCACAAGGACCGTGTGTCCACCAGTTGGGGGGAACGTGCGTGCGCACCCGCATGACGTCACGACGCTACACTGCGCGCAGGCGCACTGATGCCTCCCACTCCCCCTCCCTCCCGCCTGGCCTTCCATCTGTCACGGGCCCGGGCCCAGCCCGCCAACGGGCGAGGGGAGCGGAAGATTCTCGAAGAGCAGCCGCTCTGGGGTCCCCGCGCGCTCTGCGCCGCCCCGGGGAAACGCTGCCATCGAAGCCCCGGCCGGCTCCGGTCGTCACCGCAGCGGCCCTGGCCGCCGCCCGCTGGAATCATCGCGTTAACTCGAGGGCCCCGGAGCTCGCTGCGGCCCGGGCCCAGCCCGCCAACGGGCGAGGGGAGCGGAAGATTCTCGAAGAGCAGCCGCTCTGGGGTCCCCGCGCGCTCTGCGCCGCCCCGGGGAAACGCTGCCATCGAAGCCCCGGCCGGCTCCGGTCGTCACCGCAGCGGCCCTGGCCGCCGCCCGCTGGAATCATCGCGTTAACTCGAGGGCCCCGGAGCTCGCTGCTCGCCCGGCCACAGGTTGGCCTCCGAGCCCGAGCGGCCCTCCCACAACGAGCAGCCGCGCCCAAGGTCTGCAGACCGGGCTCTGCCAGTTTCCACAAGCGCCGGCCCCTCCCCTTACACCGCAACTAAATCTGCTCCGGGGCAGCCAAATGCCACCAAATGCCCCCCCGCTCCACTTGTGCCATGAGCATTTACTCCGCACAGAGCTACTCGAGTCAGGCAAACACGCAAGAGAACGATCGAGCAACGCACGGGCTGCCCTGCCGTGTGTAACGAAGCTCTGCTCCTCTACAAGTCAATGCACATGTGTAAAGAGTGTTTTGTACAGCCCTCCAACTCCAGCATCCTAGGAGTATTTGTCCTACAACGTGTACTTAAACGGGCGGGGCGGCCGGCATGGCCCCTGTTGCTACCAAGACCATTATTTTCTGAACTAGTAAAACTTTAAACTCAAAATCATTAGTGATTAGCTACTAATCTGATGGCAAGATATTGCTTCTCACAATGTCTACTTTTGTATTTTATATGTATTTGGAGATTACACATTGTAGCTGTAGGCACTAAAAATCCAGTCACGATTTCCTTATATTATTCATCTACAAAATTCTCCAAGACCCCCCTTCTTGGGTGGAGGTCACTGAGCATCTAGAAGAAACCAGTATCGACTCTTATGATCACCAAAAAGCCAAGTACTTTCAAGTATAAGGTCAACAAAGGACAACTAATAGATGAAAATCCATTTAATGTCTGGAAAAAAATCTTAGCATTAAAAGCCATGGTTTAATGACTTATTTTATTTCATCTGCAAAACGTAACAGCCTTAAAAAAGGAAATGTCAATGTGGCTTTTAATCTTAAAAACACTATGCTCACATCTTGGGAGAAACAGGGTTATTTATTATGTGATGCCAAAAGGAGAGAGAGTCAAAGGAACCTAACAATTCAATGTCAAGCTACCAAAGCACCGGCCACCTAGAAATTTGAGTTGGATAGATGACCAATCATAACAAGTAATGTTATCAAAGCATCTATTTCAGCGTTGTTACCATAATTTTCTTTTGCCACTCAAATCCAATTTTCAATACTGAGAGTTGGCAAGCCTAATCTAATATTAAGTAAGGCCAGCCCTCCCGTGACTGTTCCTAGGCAACAGAAGCTTATTCATATGCATTTGGGATAATCTCTAATAGTTTGGATTCCAAGAGCATCACAGAATAAAGAAACTGCACAAACCAATCCATTTTTTGGGGCCCTATAGACACACATGCGCCAGATTAAAAATATGGATAGCCTATCCTTCTCTCCAGCACAGACAAAATAATTCCCTTTTGCTCTTTTAGAGAAAAAACCCAGGAACAGTGAAATCTTGAAAGTAAAATCCTAGGAGACAGTAGACTGAAGATTAAATCCATCACCACTGTTCAAAAGAGCTGTTTAAGTACATAACGTTATGACAAAAGTCAATGTGAAATACTGGTTCTACTACTAAAACATTCCCCTTGTTCTACAATATTAAATTACTATGGGTTTATTGGTTTCCAACATTAAACCCCTTGTGATTTGCATTATTGTTGTAAAGTTAGTTATTTAGCATGGGTCTGGTTCCACAGTCTTTCGAAAGACTTCAAATAATATTCTTAGAAATTTCTAGCACTTCTTTGCATGGAAGACCATTGTCATCTAGTAAGCAATGAAATGCATCAGTGGTTGTTTTCCAACTACCAAGTGGAAGTAAGATGGAAAACTGGAAAGGCAAGCAAGTATTCCAGTAACCTTAATGTACAAAACATTTATTTAAAGCATATATAATTATAAAACCTATCACTGGGTTAAGAGTCCTGTATGTTTCCTTTGGTTTGGATTTTCTTGCATTATCTCATTTTTTTTTTTTACTAATTTTCCTCAGTTTTCTTCCTTGTGTTTTTTCTCCCATTTTATTTTAAGCTATATAATTGCTTATAGTGTACCCTCCTGGGCATCAAAAAGATGCACCTAATTCAGTATAAAGACTCTATTTAGTTGTAAATAGACATGTTTGAATGGATATATAAACCAACCAATGAGATGGCATCTTTCTTTAGTAGATAACTGAATTATAGGTTGACCCTCTCTAGTTCAGCACTCTCTGGTCCAGCAACATTCGTGGTCTGGCATGATTTTAATTAGCTGGATGTCCAGTTATCATGGGTGTGGCCAAGTTTCCCACAATCCCATGAAGTTTTTTTTAAGCCACCAGTCCTGGCTGTCAGTGTTCTATGCTGTTATTTAGCTCTAATTTACCCCTAAATGTTTTCTAAGAGCCCAGTAAGTAACTGTAGTGTTGGTAACACTGCCAGACAATACTGACTTCCCATGGTATGGCAAATTCTCTGCTTTAGCACCAGTCAGGTCCTGAGATTGCCAGACTAGAGAGGTTCAACATGTACAAATGGAAAAACTGACCAAAATCCATAATTTAAATTACTTGGATTTAAATTGATCTATCCCCCTCATATCTCATATTTGTTTCTTAGCCATCTCACCTCTGCTCCTTTCCTCCTGAAATTTTCTCACTTTTCCTCCTCTTGGAATGTGTCTACTTCTCTAAAGTAGTTATGCCACATAGCTCTTATTCTGTATGCTGCAGCGTAAGTCTAATGCCTTATTTACACTAGTAAATTTTGTAGTCTTAAGATTTCATTGGTATAACTCTACTGATAGTTCCTATATTCCATCGGTGACGTCACGAGCACGACGCCGGAGGGGGAGGGCGGAACCTGGAAGAGAGGGGAGAGGATAAAAGGCGCGGAGGTGGCCGGAGCAGGGGGGTCAGACCGGGAGGGACCCGGAGGCAAGGGGGGAGAGGAGGGAGACGCCCAGGCAAGGGGGAGCCACAGAGGACGAGGCCCCGGCTGGGGCTAGAGAATGATTACCGCGGTCGCGAGCTGGTGGAGTGGAGTTAGACCCAGGACGGGTTGTGGAACCCGGGATCAGGTGTGTTTGGGGTACCAGCCCCCCTGCTACCACTGAGAGGAGCACTCTCAGTGTTAGGGCCCTGGGTCGGGGTCCGGAGAGAGGGCGGGCCCAGACCCCCCACTCCGCCCAGAAGGTTCAGGACTGGGCGGGGCGTAGAACGCATCGCAATAATTTAAATTGATCTATCCCCCTCATATCTCATATTTGTTTCTTAGCCATCTCACCTCTGCTCCTTTCCTCCTGAAATTTTCTCACTTTTCCTCCTCTTGGAATGTGTCTACTTCTCTAAAGTAGTTATGCCACATAGCTCTTATTCTGTATGCTGCAGCGTAAGTCTAATGCCTTATTTACACTAGTAAATTTTGTAGTCTTAAGATTTCATTGGTATAACTCTACTGATAGTTCCTATATTGGGAGCATTAGGCTGGAGGCAATAAAGCTTCCATCAGTGCTACCTCCAGTGGTGAATTTTGGCTACAGGTTTTGCTAACCTAGATGAAGTATCAGGGTCATGCTGTTCTCATCAGACAGAG